TGTGGCAGGAGGTTGTAATCCCCATACAACATAGCTGCTCATGTTGTATGTAAACTATACAGGTGATTGCTAAAAGGTTGTGGCAGGAGGTTGTAATCCCCATACAACATAGCTGCTCATGTTGTATGTAAACTATACAGGTGATTGCTAAAAGGTTGTGGCAGGAGGTTGTAATCCCCATACAACATAGCTGCTCATGTTGTATGTAAACTATACAGGTGATTGCTAAAAGGTTGTGAATTGAGATATATACACATATATAATGATATACCTAATGAGATGCATGCAAAAGTATGGGATCTCATCATGTTTCACGAGTTCAATGACCGTAAGCCATCTTTATTTCAACTGAGTCTCTTGTAGATTACATGTGCTTATGATGTATGACATGATTGACAGATATTATTACGTAAGCATACCGGAAGTGGTACGCTGGAACACATATTGGTACACATATTGTAACAGTGCTGTTCCTATTGTCTTGGTATTACTAAGTTATACATTTAGATAGATGAAGTCTTTAAGTATACCTTGCATGGCATTGGTATATTTTATGAATCTGATTATATATGTGTATTTAAGTATATCTCGATCCACAACCATTTTGCAATTGACTGTATAAGGAATGTATATCTATAGTCACTAAAAACATATTTGACAAAATTCCTGTTTGCACTTAAATGTTGCTTGTGTTTGGTTCAAGGTTGTGCCTAAAGTTGATCTCAAGATAGGAATTACAGCTGCATAACATGTATAACAGTTAAAATATTATACAAACATTAAAGACTAAATTTATCATCAAATAAAAATAAAAAAAAGATATTGGATGAAAATAGTAATTTAAAAGAATATTGAAATTTTCATACAGAATTTTGAACAACTTCAGCATAATCACATAAAAAACTCATCCAGATATTTTATACGTTATGTACTAAAATGATTATATTACTTATAGATTTTTAGTAACTTCTTTTACATCATTGCTAAAAATTCCTTGAATTACAAACGAATTAGCCTCCTTTGCAGACTTTATTAGTAACAGTCATAAATTCCCTCTTAGTGGAGAGGGAATTTATGACCGATACTAATAACGTCTGCAAAGGAGGCTACAAATGAATACTATTGCATTAAAGCTTAGGAAAAGCATTTTCTTGGATTAATTGAATTAAATTATAGCAATTCCTTTGTAATTCATTGAATTGTTTAAAAACCTTTTCATACATAAGTCATTATAAGTGATTTTGCTCTTAAATCAATGATTTTAATCATGTTGTACAATGAATTTGGAATAATTTTATCTGTGTTATGAGTAAATATATTTTGCATGTGAAAGTTTTATTATTGAGCAGGTTTGAGCTATTAACTATGGTTTGAGTATGCCTTTATAGTGATATTTAGTATGCTTACACTATGTCCATGAAATAAAATGTAAATTTGTTAGATTTTCTATCATTGAAAAGTAAACAGCAGATTTTGAAGTAAATGCTCTTTGACTGACTAAAATGTATAATTTATGCTGTCAATTTTTTCTTTATTTTAATTTTTCTCAATTGAAAACTGAATTGTTTTTTTAATGCCCAAAAAAAAACAACAACTCTAACATCATAATAAATTAAAAGAGTACAGTTTGAGTAGTATTAGGCTTTAGTAGAGAAGGAAGTAGGAATCAAAGTCTGCAAATTAAGCACAAGATTCCTTGTTATCTGACACTTAGCTTTACTCACTCCAGGCTGCACTGGACAAGTTAAACACAAAATATTCTACTCCTTAGATGTTTACCATTATATAAACAAAAATAATTTAGTTTCTATTCTAACTGAAGTACTAATAATGAGAAAAAGCCTAGTAATACCTCTGATAAATACCAGGGTCAAGTTGTTCAAAACCCAAATAGGATTAATTCTGAGTTAACTAATGTTTTTTTTTAAGATTTAAACCAGGATTAGCGCTTATCGAGCTTTGAACAACCAGTTTCAAATTGTACTACAATACTAGTTACAAACCTGATATTTCTCATAAATCTGACATGAAGCTCGCAAATAATATTAATATATTAAAACATTGGAAAGTCTATAACAAGTCTAACAAAGAAACATAAGGAATTTTCTTTGTAATTTCTTGTCCATTATCAATATATTCTGCAATATTGTCTTAGTATCCTTGCACCTGTTTGCATCTTAGGATCCTGACTTTCAAACAGCTGTGAAGAGACTAAAAATCCTTGTTGATGGGGCCTTTTTTGTCAGTAGAGATATGTTATCTACAGACTCCTTTACCATAATATTTGGTAAAATCTAAACTAATTCATACATCTTGAGATTTTGAAGTGTGGCAGCTAGGCAACAGGAAAATGTAATACCAATTAACTGAAAACAGAAAAACAATAAATCACAATGTCATAATGTCAATGACATATTGATTCAACAGTTAAGATTCAAAACTTTCATTTTGAAACAGAAGTACAGAGAATAACAATAATTAGAAATAATTGTTTAAAATGAAAGTGATGAAAGCAGTTGTAACAAACCTGAAATACTGCAATTGCAAGAGCAACACTTCCAATAATGATCATTTTATCTTCAATATACTCCACTGCTGCAGTATAGCAGGACTGGAAAAAAAGCAATATTTGCAGAATTATATGTTTATTGCATGTACCAATGGTGTACAAGATGAAAGTTATATAGAATGTGTGATGTAATTCATACCAACCTTGTCAGAATATATTTTTCTAGGATTTAATGTAACATCAACATTGCAGTTTTTAGTCTTTGTTCTACAGCATGACTCTGGTACTGAAGTATTCCAGGAAACACTGGTTGACTTCTTTTTGCCAAACCAATCAGTGTAATTCTTACTACCACAGCAATGTAACTGAAACCAAATAATTGCAAATTTATTAACTTTGAATACTCGGTCATAGGCAAGTAGTGCAGTATAAGCTTAGCATGACATGTCAATCCAGCTTTTGTCTGCATGCCGACAATGGGCAGGTCAAAAATCAATGACATTGTGTCAGGAAAACATTTAATAGCAATCTTTGCACATTGTTTTTCAATTCTTTACAGAAAAGAATTGTGGATTAAACTAGATTCCTTTATGTCAGAAATATTCCCTAGCAGCTAAGCCTAATGCTGATCTCCTCTCATTATTTTATCTATTAATAAACACAAAGACGGAAAACGTACATTTGACTGCATGTTATCCCAGACATCTTTAAACCCTGCATCTGAGTATTTATCCAAAGCACTATCCAAGCCTTCATTGAAACCAGACTTGATCTGCATATAAAAGAAGCATTTGATGTACAGTCTAGCATTAACATAAAATTGATAATATTTATTAATATAACTACAATACATTCAATCACTAATCTCTGTTTTACAGCTTCCATACAATATAACAATAAACAATGCATAAGACTTTTGATTAAATGTCAATAAAATATATTCTTACTTGTATACCTCATCACGGAACACATAGCCAGTGATGGCTGTCCCGAGCTCAACCAAGAAAAGAAATCCAAGAATCACTGCAAACTAAAAGATCATTTTAATTATACCTAACCATATCAGACTATAAACTAACAGAAGCAGTGCCACTTCTGAGCAAACCCAACCAAATCAGATAACAGAATATCTAGAGACAAATGTTTACACACCCAATAACCAATATTCTATCATTTTGATTGGCTTATTGGGAAGATACTGATCATGTGAACTCATGGCTGCACTGATTGGATGATTGGTATGATGATTTGTCAGATCTGTAATCTATATTCTCTCTATGAAGGCAAATCATATTTCTATAGATTGATTGGCCCATGGTTTCATACTAAATTATTGATTATTTTAGAGGCTACTATCTTGGACTTACTGTCTTTAACAAGCATGTGTGTTCTCTTAAAGCACCACAGCATCCAATGAAACCAACAATGGCAATGAAGAAGCCCACGCCTATCAATATGTATGCAGCAATAGCAAAGTCATGTGAAGACAGCTTCATGTAATCATTGAACTGTACTATTGCCCATACACCAACAGACAGGACACCACATCCCATTACCTACAAAAACAGATTGAATTTCCAAATTAATAAGATTGGGTTTTACAACTGGACCAACTAGGAAAAGTGGATGAAAATATAAGAGAGAAGCAGAATAATCAAATCCCAGCTTCCCACTTTTCAACCTGTATTTTTACAACCAAAATTATTTCAAAAATTATTTCAGTTTTTTTTTTCCTTTTTTGTGGGAAAAGATTCTGACTCTAAAAAATGGCTTTTAAACCTCCAAAACAAATAAATATCCATAAATTTTGTAGACAAGTTATTTGCAGCAAAAAACTTTATTATTTAGAGTCAAAGTGTCATTTCATCAGTCTCCTGATGGTTGTGGCAGATCATACAAGAACTCCTGACATTTCGTATTTCATTAAGTGGTACATTTTCGTTCTCTCTCTCTCTCTCTCTCTCTCTAATCTCCAAAAATTGATTGATAGATAGACTTGAACTAAGATTAACAGCAAAGAGAAAATATTTGGAATGTTGGTTCACACTAAATTAAAAAAGATCTGGATGACTTCAGACAAACATAATATTTATAGCTATGATGTAGTTGCTACCAGATAGTATAATAAAGATCATTTTCACCTGCCACAGTTTAAAACAGCTAAAAAAGGATTAACATAGGCTGAATTTTATTAGTATGATTTTTTTTTTTAGCACAAATAATTTGGAATTCATATGAATCCAATCATGTTTTGATAAAGAATGAGAAAAACAGAATTTAAATGAATGGCTCACTGAGAGTGCAGGTGTGAATGAAACAGTTTTGGGGGTAACAAGTTACTCAGGTTATGTTTTTAAAAAGTCTATTGAAATTATAGAAAAAAAAATGTATTCTTTTTTAAATTTAAATATTGAAAAAGAGTTTACAAAAGGTATACATTGCCAGTTATCTTATCTCTCGCTTCGGAACACACAATAAATAATTCAGAAATACTACTAGAGTAAATAAAATGAAATTCTTTTTGTAATAATAAAGCCCACAAATACCGAAATTACTAGTAACAGTTACTGTTATCACACATCAATGCCGATTCACACTTGAAATAATAGGTTCAAAAATCCCTTTCATGAGAAAAATAGAAAATCTCAAAGCTCGCGTCAATTAAGTTTTGCACGCATATCTGATTGCCCAAGCGAGCATGAAAACAATGGCAATGAAGGAGACAACAACTCGCAAACAGAAGCAATTGATAATCGCCGGTCCGAATTGTTAAAAAAAATTGTGCAAAAAATTGTACAAAAAGAGTGAGAATTCAAAGCAAAGATATGCTGTAATTGCATTTGTATTTTGTAAGCAATGCGGTAAAAGCGGGTAAATTAAATAYTTGATGATAGCAATGCCTGTATTTACCATGCTAGATATATCATTAGCACCAACTAAAATTGCATGTCGCAGAAAACGAGGAGTTAAATTCCCAAAGACGGGGAATCTATTTCAATCGAAAAATGGATTACTGATATAAACTTTTTAAATTGGAATAGCAACTAAAGTTCAACATTACGGGCAAGAAGGTGAGAAATTTTTTCTTTGAAAGTGTGTAAACTCCAATGAAAATCAAGTTATAACAAAAAATCGAGACATTTTTGGAATTTGTACTCTGGTAAATACGTCGTCAATCATGAAAAAACGGCTCTCCAGAATATTGAGACACTGTCATCTCCATTGAATTTTGTATTCATAAAGAAACACCCCCTCTTGATTATTGAAAAAATTTCTCCCCAGCTTTGTCCCTCTTTGCTCCGGGACACGGACAAAAAGAACTCATCTTTACCAGGAAGATTTCCTCGATGTCAAGGACCCTGTCCAGCTTTAGCACACTGTATGAAACTCGGACTATCTAGCGATAAAAATTTACGATAATCGGAGTCTCTATATCTCGTACAGTAAGCTGCAGAAGGGCCTTCAACGGAACGTTGCTTCGAATGTGGACAAAACGGCGTGACGATCAAACGTTCTTTTCGCCGCCTCGTTTGTAATTTACACTAAGTGCCATTACTTACCCAGAATAACGCATTGAATACGAACAGTAGATATCTGATACATTGTAAGCAAGGCCCCAGTTTTTCTGCCATGTTTGTTTATAAACTCGCAGGTTGGAAAATTATCATAGCTGCTGTCGATCGGTTGTCGCCTTTTCCACACGAGCAGGAAGACTGGAAATGAGGCAGTGACGCACAACCTAGAAAATATCAATGATATAGTGACCAATGAGGAAATAGCAATCCATTTTGAAACCACAGAAAAAATATTTTACATATCACTTCTCATCTTTCAACATCATGGTATATTGTTCCACAAATAAATATACAATTTTTAACTAAAGAGGATTTTTTTACTTAGACAATTTGCATTTTCTTTGCTGGATTTCTCAAACAGTGTTTCACTGTACCCATGACCTAGTTCAAAACAAACATAATTCACTATGTAAGAAATGGTAAGTTCACTTACTATAGTTTATTTTTTTAGTTTGTTTGTGATAAAAGAGTACACATCATGTTGATGTCATGTGATGTCACAATAAAAGGTTTGCATTCAAGGGTGCAAAGTTTCCCCAATGAAGCCATATTTACACCACCATAGCTTTATTAAGGAACTAATGAATTAATGCAAGATTATTTGACTGGAATATAGTGGTAGAGTGATCGCACTTAATCCATGCAACTCTACAAACTAAATAGTTCTATTTAGTTGTTAGTAAATCGTGCATGCGGTACGCAAAATTAAAGTGCATTGATTGCTTCAGGCCACTTTTAATACAAAATAATACTACTTAGATTTTGTACAGTTGCATGCTTGAAGTGCGATCACTCAAGGAACACAGTAAATTAAAGGAAAACTTTATAAAAATAATTTTGAATAATTTACTCAAAAATTTTCTTCCTGAATCAGTGGATACTTGTATATTTATGATATAAAAAAAGGACAAAAGGGTAAATGTAGAAACACAACAGGCAAAAACATTTGTTTTTTATTGAAGTAAAAATGTGTTTCTTTGTAAGAAATTATGACTACATACTTTAGTAGTAAATTCTAATTAATTTGAATTTGAGTGAACAATATAAACTAACTTGATGGTACTGTGATATATGAATGTTTTTAAAGATCACTGCAAAGCACTGTACCAATTGCACTAAGCCAGCCCTCTCTTGGTGACAGAATGAACAAACTAATATCGTTATTGTGAAATTTACACAGCATTTACATGTGCTTATTGAATGCTAACATATAAAAATATTCTGATCAATTCAATTTCTATTGCTAGTGCTATAAATCAAGTATTACCTAATATCAATCATAAACTATACCATGATCACCAGCGACATAAACCCTTGCATCAGATTTTCATTTAGATTTTTCTATTAAATATGACAGCTCAAACAAGCACAGTTATTTAATTGAAGATCTCATAATTGAAAGCAGATAAAAAAATTCAAAAATTATTTGAAATTGATGGTTACACAAGGGTTTCTGCTACAGGGATAATAGTGTTTAAGAGAAAAGTTAAAAGTTAATGCCAGTGAAATTATCATTTAACATTGAAATCCTAAAAGCCTTATTACATAAGGACAAATATATTGTAAACATCAATTCCTATTCAAGCTTTCCCTGCAGCAAGATGTTCCTCCATATTGTATATGGGCTAGTTAGGTAAAAGATGATTGCTCATGAAACAAAAACAACTATCTAATAGCTAAGGAATTAATGATGTTCAAAAGACAAAAACTTTGAAAAATATTTCAGCAAGTGGTTTTCAAAAATTGTAATCTTTGTTTCATAGTTCACGAAAACCACTCTACTTAGCCAAATAGCCAAGCTACAACAAAATACTGTCATGACTTTGAGCTATTTAATAGACCTTACTGGCCAACACATTGCTATAAACATTTCCAAGCATTTCAAAAAGGAGTATGTTCCAGTATTCATTTCAATGACAAGATCTCACATCCAGAGGTTTGAATTGCTTGGCAACCTACATAACAATGTTTAACCGATTTAACAGAAAAGACTAAATCACACAGTATTGCTATAGTGAACAATGTTTGCAGTAAAATCAAACTAGGGAAAACAAACTGTTACTTCCAAAATAATGTACACTAGCTAATGAGCTTACTTATATTTCAAGTGTTTTTGTTTGTTTTCCATGGCTGACTCACTTCACATTTGTATTTTCTTCAAGACTTGCTTGGATTTGTTCAGCACTCACAACACGTCATACAAAATTTTGTTATGGAAAACAATTGTAAATTTTGTGATAATTTCTACTGCAGAGATCGATTTCTCTACCCCCCACCGTCATATAGTTGGCCTGAGCTTGTCTTAGTAAGAGACTGAAAGTGCATCTTTTGAAACAAATTGATTTTTACTTAGAAATCCTGGCATATCTTGGTTTAAATTGTGCTTTTATAGTTTCTCTTACGCAGAGCAGTGAATCTCATGCAAACAGCGTCAGATTTGCAATATTATGTATCAATTTGAAAAACTATCAGCGCTCAAAGAACAACACAACATCCTTTACTGCCACTTCGTCCTGATCCAGAGGTCTTCATTCTACGTACAATTTCAGCAAAAACTTGATCAACATTCTGGCGGGTCTTGGCTGATGTTTCAAAGAAAGGACAGCCCCATTCGTCTGCTAGTTCTTTGCCTTCGTGTGCCGAAACCTCTCTCTCATCATAGATATCGCACTTATTACCGACTAAAATTATAGGTACATTTTCACTGCCTTTCACGCGTAATATTTGAGCTCTCATGGGCTTCAAATCAGCAAACGTTTGCCTGTTTATAATAGAATACACTAGCAGAAAACCTTGGCCATTTTTTATGTATAAATCTCGCATTGACGCGAACTGTTCAGTACCAGCAGTGTCTAGAATTTCCAAAATGGAAGGGTTGTTGTCGACTTCAATTTCTTTTCGGTAGAAATCCTCGATTGTTGGGTCGTATTTCTCTACAAACTGTCCTGTTACAAACTGTACGGTTAAGCAACTTTTTCCCACACCGCCTGAGCCCAACACCACAACTTTGTATTCCCTCATTTGCCCCTTCATTACAGTACAAAATCCACAATCGGCATCTAAATTGAAGATTGCAACGGGTCCAACAAGTTCACGAGTTGAAACGTGGAAGCCTTTTTCTCAGGGTGCGCACCTTTGAATCGTAATTTTTGGGATTCCTCGGCCTCCGTTGAGTTTGATAAACCTACGTATAGCTTCCTGAAGAGTACATTTGCAAAAATAACAAAGAGTTTTATGCTGTCAGTCGTTGATAAAGTGAAATGCACAACTTACTTGCTCTGTGGCCGGTTAGGCGTGGTGTCCGCAAAGGTTTTTGGGAATGATTTGTGCACAGGCCACCCAAACATGAAGAACGTATCCTAATTTTCATAATTCCCTTCCATTCTCTCTACTTTCTTTTTCAACTTTCATGCCGTTGTTCTTCGAATTTGCCAGCAGTTCTCCTAAACCACGAGAGAAATTAAAAGATCCAGCTTTTTCTAAACAACGTTCTCTTGTATCTGTGCCAAATAACTGTCGATTCGTGATGTATCCATTACGAAGAGGAAAATTGCAACTACATGTACGTTCGTTTGATATGCAACATTTATATATTCCCATATGAAACGCAGTTACTACAAAAAAGCCTGGGAAGCTCCTACCGATGGGTGATCCGTATTGAGCTGAACTAAAAGATCTCAAAAGGGAATGGAAATCGCAGTGTAGTGCAACTTCTCAGTGCGCAACTGAAATTTTGTCACACTATGGCTTTAGGAATACTAGTGAAGGGAACTCATACTGCAGGAAGTCAATAAAATGGTGCCTTTCTGCTAAGCCGCTGTTTGACCGGAACCCAATCAAAATTTATAACAATGGACAATATTGCATTGTGATTGGCTGATGCGGTTGAATAATGCGTATCTCCCTTGACGATCGCAAAGCGTGCCTTCAAAATAAAACCTGACGTTGACGGCAGGAATTAACTTTTACCGACATGGATGCCAAAGTTTTACTTGTGATTTCTACGCTAGCAACGCTTAGTGTCGTTGAATCTGCCGTGGATTCGAGCAGCAGTAATGTTTGTTCTTCCAACCCTTGTCGAAATGGCGGCATATGCGCCGTAAATGTTACACAGTTTGCATGTCAGTGTTTGCATGGATTTTCAGGACGATTGTGTGAAATAAAGCCAAAGGACTGCACGCCAACACTTTGTGCTAATGGCGTTTGTCAAATGGATGGCACAGGAGTTCCACAGTGCTTTTGTAAGCCTGGTTTTGTAGGTTATCGTTGCGACATTAACCAAGACGATTGTGCATCCAATCCATGCCTCAACAATGGGCTTTGTGTAGATCGAATTAACGGTTATCGTTGCACTTGCAAGAATGGATTTTATGGTCTACATTGTGAGTTCAAAGACGAGTTAATTCAACAGTGTGTTTCTCAATGTGGTACTGGAATATGTTGGCACAATGAAAGCCGAACCATTTCCCTTGAATGGGGCTATGGAGACACTCTTTGCAACACAAGAGAAACATGCTTTGGAAAGGACTACAACAACAGCATTCAAGTCTCTTCCGACACCTTCCTCGAGGTACAACTTAAACCACAACAGATACAAGTTGGTGACAGTTTAAATTTTACAAGAGATGAAAACATGGCTTTCTATACTGATGGACTAAGACCCTTCAGTAGTAACGACAAAAGTGTGTTTCTTTCTTGTAGTTCTAACTCCTCCAATGGGAACTATGTCATTCCACAGCGACAAGGACTTGTACACATTAGTCCTGACAGTTTGAAGGAAGGCTTTCATTATTTTATTGATAATGTAGATTTGACTTTTAGATGTGACTTTGGTCTAAGAGTAAATGTTAGTGTAAAAGCTAACAAATGTTACAAGCCTGGTTCTAGTGAGCAATGTTCAAGAAGAGGTCAATGCACCACAGATTTCTCCCAGACAGCATTCCAGTGTAGATGCTGTGGAGGATTCAGGGGGGAGTTCTGTGAAAAAATAGATCACTGTTACTCCAAGCCATGTAAAAATCATGCCATCTGTACCAATATTGATGATGATCAAGAATTGTACAAGTGTAAATGTGTGAAAGGTTATGAAGGAAGGCATTGTAACAGAGTGATTGACATGTGCGCATCAAGTCCTTGTCAGAATGGTGCATCATGCACCCCCCTGTTAAACGACTACTCCTGCAATTGCCCCAAAGGCTATGTTGGCAAAAACTGTGCAGTAGAAGTTAATGAATGTGATTCAAATCCTTGCATCAATGGAGCTACCTGTGTTAATAAACTCGGTTCCTTCCAGTGTGTTTGCCGTAGTGGATTTACTGGTAAGATTTTAGTTTATATCAACACTTTGAAATCCTTTAATCTTATAAAACAAACTAAATCACCTTTTGGAATTCATTATATATGATTATAATATGTTCATATAGACAATTTGGTATACCAGGAAGGTTTTGTTAAATCAACTTTTTCCATGTTTGCAACCAACTTTATTCTAAATATCTGTTTAACTTAATCTAGATACAATATTTTAAAGGTGTTCGTAGCACGTAAACAATGCCCTTGTCTATAGTGACCACCTGCAAGCATCCAAAAATATCTCAGCATGATATATGATTGCAGAGCAATCTGATATAACAATTAGCCTACAGTTACACCATTTTAGGACACAGACACCTTATATTCTTGAAATTTACACTGTTGTTTCTTGATTGCGTTAAATTTTGCATGAAAATTAGTTATTTTGGAAGTAATATTTAATCAAGTTTATTGGAGTCAGCTTATTAATAAAACATAAAAACGGGTCTGATGGATATTTGCATTTTGAGGTTTACCAAATTTTAAATACTCTATGTTTTAAAATTTCTTAGTGATTCATCTATAAATTTCCCCCTCTTTTTTGAATTTTTTTGTCTGTCATTTTAGAACAAATTTGTTGAAATCTTATAACAGTGTTCTTAGAGTCTCTCTAAGAGAGAGAGGGAGGGGAGAGAGAGAAAGAGATTGTGTATGATAGTGTCAGAGGCTGGAGACTCATCTCTAGATTTTACAACACTGCTGTAAGAAGCTGCTGCTATGTTATAGTACATGTGATATCATCATTCATTAAATTTATTTAATTCAGGTTATCACTGTGAGGTGAACATCAATGACTGTGCGTCTGACCCATGTGCCCAAGGTACCTGTATTGATCAAGTGAACCGATACAAATGCTACTGTAAACCAGGCTACGGTGGACCTAACTGTCGACTAAACCTGAATGAGTGTATATCCAACCCGTGTCTCAATGGAGGCTTCTGTGTTGATGAGGTCAACAACTATCGTTGTGACTGTGGACATGGTTACACAGGACGTCATTGTCAGGAAGATGTAGACCTTTGTGCCAAGCCTGAATTTTGTACCAATTCCATATCTTGTGACGATAAAGGCCACAGTGTCAAATGTGTGTGCAAGTCTGGTTATACAGGTGCAAACTGTGGTGTTGATATTCATGACTGTGCTTGTAATCCTTGTCAAAATGGAGGAAAGTGCAGAGACTTGGTCAATGGCTATCAATGCTACTGTCCTCCTGGTTTTGAAGGCAAATCATGTGAAGGTAAGTTGAGGCATGGACCAGAGATACACAAAATGTTTTCTGTCTAAAACAGCAATAGACCTCTGAACCTTTTACGTCACTACTTGATTTTCAATGCATTGTGGGATCAGTTTCAAGAGAAAACAAAAGAAATCMGCCATATTTTGTCCCAAACATGTCCTACAATGCATTGCGTATACAGTACATGACGTAAAAGMTGAAGAAGTCTATTATAGTAATGAGAGTGAATGGTCTTAACCAAGGTGTAAGCAATGTACTGCACCTACATATTCAATAATTATTAGTAATATTATCAAATAATGTTTACAGATAAGGTCAAACCAACAACACAAGCTCCTGTCAAGCATGATCTTGTCCTGAAAATCCTAACAGAGGACTGCCACCTTCTTAAGGTTCTCACAAAGTATTCTATTTTGGAAATACCTAGTGTAGTGCATCTGTGAACAGAAAAGTCTTATAATTTTGGCTAAGTACTGAAACTTTCATTGTGTTTTGATAGGATTCAGTTCTTCTTCAAGATATTCTGGTAAATATCACAAGACACATTGCAGCTGCATGTACTTGTGGCTTCAACAAACAACACATTCTTCATGACTCAGTCTCCCTGGCATGCGTTGATACCATTTCTGGCCAGTTGACCATCCAAGTTATTGACGATGAAGACATTGCTTTTGATGATTTGCAGTGTGAATTTAGAGCATATGTTGCAAAACACAATAATGTTGTTGAATTAGGTAAATATATCCTTCTGTATATTCCATGTAATTTTTTACATACTTACTGGGAGGAGAAATCCCATCCAAAAATATTTCTTTCTGGAAAGTATCCTATTGTCAATACAATGTGATTTGTTTTGATACAATTCTTTCAACCCTACCATACACCATGGGGCTTTGATTRGACTGCACAGTTGTGCATAGTCTTCCAGTTGAGCTGCCTCATTGTCCCTCACTAGAAGCAAGTTGAAAGGTGGTAAAGTTTTTGGATAATGCTGTAACTAGATCCATACTACATARGATTCTGATTAATCATTTTTAGGCCATGATACTTACATTAGAGGTTTCTATGGTGACGTTCCTTCAAAATGCCASAAGTCAAGTGTTGATTCAGACAAAGTGCTYGAGACAAATACCAACATTGCTGTGACTGTGGGATCCCTGTGTGCAGTGGTTGGTCTGATTGTAGCAGGCATTGTAGTGTGTTGTAAGTGTAGAAGGACAAGACCTCCTGTAAAGCAGATAAATACTAAGTAAGTCCACTCTCATTAACCAACAAACCTACATTATATTTTATGGGAATGACAATGGTCTATTGGTACACTTTAGTCAGTGGTCATTTAGTATTGTTTAAGTCCTGCAAATCAAAACTCCTCACATCATCAAAAGTCCCCTTGTTTTTTAGAAAGGATTCTCGAAAGTAAATTGGTTAAGTTCAGATTTCTATAGAAAAGGCCTGTCTAGGAATTGAAAAGTATTGAAGTATACTATTTTTATTTTTTAGCAAAGAAGATGATCTCATCAATGACCTTAGTGGYGACCTCCTGTCAGCTGTAGCCCCAACACCSAAGTCKATGTATAGAACAAGTGGAGGTTATCATAACATGGGTTTTAATCCTGGACGATTTAACCCAGAAAACCCAATCCCTTCACGAAAAGTGTGATCTTCAAATTGTTTGATTTGAATTATCCTCTGGAAAAAAATAATTTCCTGTACGAGAGTTGGTCCTGATTACMGCACCCATGTGGTTAATAACCATACGTGTTCTGTAAATCTCAAGAATTCAGCTTTTGCATATATGTTGTTCTACATCCAAGAAAAAGATAAACATGACATTTGTATCATTTAGAAATTGGATGGAAGATTCCCAGCAACCTGCTGTATATTAAATTCCCATGCATCGCTATACAAGTTAGAAAGTATTGCACATAATATTGTGCTCTTGTAATAGGATATTATCGTTGCAATATAGGATTGTTATGCAATATATAATATAATTATATCAAAGAAGACAATAAAACAACCACCAAAATACTACAACCAAACCAACAGAAAAAAATGATGATCAAAATAAGGACTGACCCAAGCCTGGTTTGAAAGATGGATACAGCCACTATTCAGCTTTTGGAAACACCAGTAATAGTTAATGATTGTCATATTATTTGCAAATAGCTAGGGATCAGTTCCACAATAGTACTCTTTTGATGTGGTTGTTTCATTGTCAAGAGTTCATATAAGAGGGGTGTGCCCTTTTCTATAAAAAGGAAAATTCATAGTATATTATATTGCATTTTATAAAAATTGAAAAACATTTCCACTCACTATGCGTTAGATATTTTCGTGTTATAGATTAATCAAGGCATTACTACTTGTGTCCTAATCAGTCACTGAAAGAGTAAACTGAGCTATAAATTTCAATTTCCTTTTGCGAAGGAAATTACTACTCATTTATGCCTACAAGTACAACCATAGTTGGAACCCTGTGGGTATTTTGTTGTGTTTTTTTTTTACATGATACTTTTTAGATTTTTTAGCATTTTTATCTAGGATAGATGTTTGGTGATATTGTGCATGATATTGATCTATAAGTTGAATACTTTTTCAATAATCATTATTGATTAATTTGGCTTTATGAGTTATTTGAAGATAAAACTAATTCAAGGAAGTTTTGAATCATTTTAGACGGATAGCCAGATAGCGTCGAAACATCAATAAAATGTTTTCAAACTTCCTTGATTAATTTTACTCTTCAAATATTATTATTATTTTTTTTTTGAAACAGAAAATTTCAACCTAAGTTAAATTCAAATAATATGGTTGTATACTTGATTTGCATTTGTTTTGTATTATTTTTTGAAATGAAATAAAATGATTCTTTCTATTTCAGTTTGGAAGTTTTGAAATAAGGGCTTTGCTAACTGATTTTTACCACAACCAATATTGTGAAATTAAATCAGTTCCAATGATAAAATGCATAAAATATGATATGACAAAACAAAACAAAGAGGGAAATATAAGTATTCTAAAATTGCTCGTGTATTGAGTGCTAATTTCTCAAAACTCTTTCTCTCTTTTGAAAAGTTGTTATTTTCACTAGTTTCGAGGTTGCTCTATATAATGGAAGTAAAAATAAATGTATTTTACGACATGGTTTGCTTTCAAATATAATTATATGATAAACAGAATATTACATGGTTGCTTGGAGATAAGAGTATCTTATCAACACTAGAAGATAAAATCTGTATCTCCATGTAATATCCTCTATATCTAACCCTAAGAATATCACTATATCTCTACTTTACAGGTCTTTACATAGTATCATTTTATTTGCATTGACTTGGTACATGTGAACCTCATCGWATGAAAAGGACCTGAAGTAATAGTTATCATTACTCAAAACACAAACGGAATGAAAACCAATTGACTTTTCAGTGGTAAAATAATTCCAACTTCGATTCGTTTTCACATTTCCAATTTTTAAGAATATTTTTTCTTAATTAAATTCAGCTATATATTTACATCAATAGTGCTGCTAGGGTGCGACAACRTACTAAAGCGCAAATTTCTTCTTCAATTACAAGGCAGATATTTATGCATACCGGGCATTGACAGATCATTCAAAGACGACAAATTAATGACGAATTCCTAGTTTGCTTGCTGAGTGACCTGGGAAACCCTTTTTTATTATGAGTGGTAAGTCAGATTCCCCAAACCAATCAAATTTCGAAATACTTTGTGAAGCTGTGAATAATTCACGATCTTTGGGTTCACTAAACGGTCACTGAAACGAAAGAAGTTAAATTAAACTTTTCGAAAAGGTAAGAAGCTTATGAATACTGTGTTTTTGTGTTTGCTATTTTAGCATTTACTTGGGGTTTGTGAAAAGTAACAATTATGAATAGGTGTAACCTTCTTAGTTTAGTTTCTTTAAATGTTTCAATGTTTTCGATATGAGCCAGGTGTGAAAACCAGAGTCATCCAATAGCTTTTTAAAAACATTCAGCCTTGTTTCTACTTGATATTGTATTCGACTGTGAGTTCAATGTGTCGTTGCTAGCGAATTTAAGCTTCAGAAATACGGCCTTAAACGTCAAAGRAATGCATCATTTGGCTTTTTTCGAGTCTCAAGCAAAACGAGAGAACGATAGAAAACAAGAACTTTTGGTACAAAGCTGTGAAGCATGTGAGTTTATCAAATATTTTCATTATGAATGTGTTGATAAGAAACATTGCGCAAACTGCAAGACTGACTGAAACTGAAAAGTTTCAATCTGTTTCAGAATCATCACTGGCCTTAGTATGCAATTGTCACAAAAAACATAAAGAATTAAATGCCAAAATATTTGCGAAACAATAAACCAAAGAATGACTAAGATTCATATATAAGAATATTATTCAAATGAGAGAGAATTTAGATAATAACCTTTSTGATTATTTCAATTGCGCAAAAAGGTGATTGAAGCGCCGAAATYATAAGACCACAAAATGTTCGAGAAATCTAAAAAYCAWTCGCTTTCTTCCAAATTGAATTAACTCAGTCCGAAAACAGCTTTTTCGTGTTACAAGTATTTTCACGGATATTTATTTGAAAAGTGGTAKAAATAAAGTTTGAGGTCTCAGCTGGTTTGCGGTGCAAAAAAAACTTTATTAAGCGAAAAAATACAGGAAATTTCAAATGCAAAGGTCAGAAATCTAGACATGGAGGGCTATTAATAACAAGATCATATTCTGAGAGCTTAGCTTGCGGGAAGTCGACGCGATGAAGGTTTGTTAAAGAATACCTCGCGGACTATAAACTATTTACGAGTGTATCATAGCAGATCAGTAATCTCAGAACTAATCTAAACTTTTTAAAGTTTTAAAAAGCGTTGTCCCCACAACATGAAAACAATAAATTTAACAAATATACATCTAGATAAAAAAACATAGTAAATCCACTTTTAGCTAAAAGCTTATTTAAATATGTTTTCACAAATTTTGAACTCGCTCGCCTATTGAATTACAAAACAATAATTAACAGGTCTACTCTATTCTAATTTTTTTTCTCGATTTCCGCGGTTGATGTACAAAATGTCATAATGTGATGTGTTAGAAATTAAATAAATTTTGTATGTGCATTGCGCATGCCCAATACTAAACACCCCATCTTTGTTAAGCTTTGCCTTATATGGTAACATGTTATTTATAGTCATGTCCGCTTCAAGTAAATCCARCGAATCCAACGGAATTGAGGAAAATGGCGATTGTGAAATTCCGCAAGAAAAGACAATAAGTGAAGATATGCCTAAATGGAAACAGGAGCAAAGAAAAAGATATAACGAAAAAATCCGAGTAAGTGAACCAGTTGCTTTATAAACTGAATTTCAAAATATTTGCTGATAGAAGGAAAGGGAAAATGGAAAGATAGAGAAAATGGCTGTAAATCGCAAGATTGAGTTTTATATGCTCGACTGCTATTTATTTGTATTTTTGTTTATGGTTTGTTTTGATAATACTTTGTTTGACTTGTTCGCCACAGAAAGAGGCAGAAGAAAGGAATGCAAGAAAGAAAAGAGAAGAAGAAGAACTACAGCAAAAGTGGGAAGGTGTTCCTGCTTGGAAGGCTACAATCATCAGGAAGCGCGAGGAAATAAAAAAGCTAGAGGAAGAAAGAGTGTTTGAGGCCCAACGCAAAGAAGAAGAAGAAAAGGCAAGATGGGAAAACCTACCAGTGTGGAAGAGAGGCATTTATCAAAAGAAGGGGCTCAAGCCAGTCAACAAAACACCTGAACATATAAATCCATCAACTACCGACAGCCAAGTTACTAGGGGTAGGCTACTTTTTGAAAGCCTTCAATTAACCAGTCATAGTGCACTTTCTAACATTAGCCATTAGTAATATACTAATCAATATGCCAATTAATGTTTAACATAGCTAACCCGTTTGCGTAATSCTAATGCTTATAAAACTATCAATTTAACCACTTCTAATAGATGAATCTACCCCTGATAACTGCCATGCTAGCRAGGATGCCGCTGACCAAGACAACTGTGCTCCCACAGTTGATGAGCAGCACATTGAGGAATTTAATGCCAATGATGCCACAAAGACAACTGATGCTGATGGAGATCAACAAGAACAACATGATGATGAGCAAAGGAATGGGGACATCTGTGCCAGTGACAATGATGAAGTATTTGTACAAGAAGATAAAGAAATTCCCATTATAGTCCAAGATGCTCCTCAAGAAAATGAAGAAGTTAGCAAGAATGAACAAATTGATGACAATACAGCTGTTCAACAAATTAATGAAACAGTGGAACAGGAAGACCAACCTAATGGACTTACAGCTGTGTGAATGAATACCTGGGAACAGTACAGCCACTGAAATAGTACCTATGCACTTATTGGCACCCACCATRATCACACCATTAGATATTATTCAAGTTTCACTTCGCATGTGTTAGCTGTGAAGTCAGGGTAGCAAAGCTCTACAAGGTTCCATTGTTTACATGAGAAGGCACTCACATTGGTTAGCTCTTTTGTGTCCTTGTGAAAATGAATTGCCTATCCCTAAAATTTCTATGGAGAACAGGGAGAACTGGTCTTTTAAAGCATGGGATAAGTCATACATTATTGCTAAAATATAAACATGAATGTAAACATGAATTTTGAATACTGGTTGGACATCACGTCGATTTCAATTTTCATGCTCCAGTCTCAATCACAGGTTTATAGACTCTTAGACACAATTCCTTCACATGAATATCTAGAATGTTTATTCATAATGCACCACTCAATGAAACACGGCCCCCTCCCTCCCCCCTCCCCCGCACCCAAGAAAACACAGTTTAAATAAGCTTAACCTAGCTCCAAACATTTCCCAGTCCTTTTAAAAAGGCCACAAAATGGTGGTAACAGATTCTCTTCAAATTAGACRTCAATTCCCATTTAAATTAAAACAGTGTTAAATCAGTGGGTTCTTSTCCGGCCATCTCCAGGGGTTTGTGGCMGGGGCTTTCATTGACTGATGCACAATACAGTGACAAAAAAATAATGCATTGCCATAAARTATTGCAACTTTCAGTGAGATTTTTGAACAAAAGTAGTTTGCAGTTGTCTGTTTTTAGCAAAAAAAAAAAAACGTCCACTAAAATGAAACTTTGCGTTTTGTCGTCTAGAACTGCATTTACCTTGCACACAGCACTTTACAATGCCATATTATGAACATGCACAACATGAACACGTTATATACTCCACTTTATGCGCGCTTCCATCGAAGAGCATTGATCAGAAATCCAAGCCACATCCACATAAAATAGACTGAAACTAGAAAATGAAATATTAGAATTAATGATTTCTTATTGAGTGACTCCATCAAACATTCAACTACGGTTATAAAGTCACATTAAAATACCAAAATGAACAGGGATGCAAGTATTGCATGTCTGACAGCAATAGTGCCTTTTTTACCAGGCGTTGCTCACTTACTCGTCCCAGTACTTTTCAGGCTGCTCACGGTTTATAAAAAAAAAACTATAATCTCAATTGAAAGCTTTCAAATYTGAATCGAATTAAATGAGAATATCAACCTATTCAAAATGGGAAGAATTCATATTATATAGCTGAAAAATTTGTCTATTTTCCTAAACAAAGTGTTTCAATTTTATCACGTGATCATTCCCAGAATGCAKCRAGAGYTAGGATAGACAACAAAACAAAAAACATGGCTGTCTAGAGTATGATGTGAAATCATTGCAAATAATAGAAAACACTACTTTTAGCTGGTTTTATTGCCTTTTATTGTACGTCTGTTCCTCCATAATAGATGTTCATCGAAGAAACTCTCCAGAAATGCATTTTAACTGACGATCGGCTCTGAGTCCATGCAAAAATTACATTGATAGTTCATCAAAACAAAGGTAACGTGATTGTATAGCTTTACAGGACTTCGACCTAAAGGATATCAGCTTCACTTTGCTTGACTTTATACTAAAAATCGAACCTAGCGCTGATTTTTTATCTTAAAATGTTTTCTAAAGATGTACATTATGCGAAGAACTAGTGATTTATTATATATCTTGAAGATGATAAGCCTTACAGTTATACACAGAACAGTAATTCAATAAACACCATTTAGTTAATCTTACTTCGATTACTTGAAAAGAATACTGTATCTAGTTTTTGTTATATATCTCATTTTAAAACATCAAATATACAATAATATCATTCACAATTAATATCATATATATTGTTGCAAACATAACTACCTTTGGAATTGTAAGTTCTAAGTTATAGTTTGTTTACAGTCGGTATGATGCATTCACATAATTAATATTATATTTTGTTTACATTTGTTTTTAGGGATTTCTTATTATTTGAAAAACAAGTGTATTCATATGAGCCTTTGGCACATTGCCATTGCATAAACCGTAACAAGCCCTCTGGCTTCTCAAACAACCACATTATAATCTGCCACAAGAGTGTGGTTTTATGAGGTCTGTGCAGTCATCTCACTTCACAGATGGCTCTCTACCAGTCTTTGTTTTTCCCAATTCTTTAACGTTCTATGTTGACGACCAAGCTACACATAAACAGGTCCTCACTGTCTACAACCCCTATGAATTTCTACTGAGATTCAAAGGTAAATATTTTTAATACATTTACTAATAAAATTTTCAAATCAGCCTCATATTATGCGGAGTATTTTTGTATGAGGGAGAAAGTGATACCAAAGCATTGTGCCTGGCTGAGTACTTTATTTAAAACCATCAACTTTATTTCACTTACAGTTTTTAATTTTCTAATAATATGAAGCTTGTTGTCATTCCTAGTGTCCATAGTATGTTAATTAGCAAGTGTTATAATTAAACTACATCCTTAAATCACTCTCTTACTTAMATATGGCTATAATGGTTTCCTTTGAGCACTTTGTTTAGGAAAAAGAAGATGAATTTCATAGTTTTGTTAACTTCTCCTATACTTTTCAACTCAGTCTTGTGTACAGCACCAAGTCGTTACCTGGTTGTAGATGCAGAAGGACTTATTAAGCCAAGATGTTGTATCGATATGTAAGTTATTCAGTGAACAATAATTGCATGTTTTAAATATTAAGAACTCAWTGTGCATACTAAACTTTGTTTTTAGAGTTATACGTCATACTGCAATCCAGTCAACATTGTCTGATCAACATGACAAGTTCMGACTTCATGTCTTTGAGCATGGTGTTGACAAAGTACTTGGTAAAAAAGAAATCCCCTCAATTGTCCTTCAAAGTAGAAGTAAACAAGAGGTAAGCATTGTACAAAATCATATTTCCAGTAGTGATTTTACATGATATTGTGTTGTGTACAGCAATATGCAGAAATTATGATCACTTTGACTCATATTGCAAGTATAAAATATAACAGAAATTATGGGACATCATCACCAATATATTTTTCAGAAAGTACTAGTGCTAGGCAACTTCAAAAAATATTGTCGAGATGATATCCCTAATTTCTGATATACTTTATTCTTGGAATATGAGTCAAAATCATGATCATAATTTCTGCATATTGCTGTATRATAAAAAATATAAATAAATTCCATATTAATTTTTACATATTTCTTCTTTATTTATGACTACACAAAATGCTAAATACAATGCTAAAGAATTTAAAATGCACCAGGAAAGTGTTAATTATTGCTAACGAGCATGGAGAAGAACTTACAACTGAAATAAGTGAAACTACTATTTATTTAGCTAGTATCATTAAAATTCATTATTTTGTTCTTTTTGACATCTCCATTTTGTGTATTGTCAGTGGTAAAAGTTTTTGATCCCTCTCTGTTCTTCTGTGATTCATCACCAAATGCAGTATTACTATTTTTGCTTTTATAATATTTTCAGAAAGAGAAGTCTAAGAAGCTAACAAAAGACAGAACTGTTCGATTTGAAAATAAAACTGATCACTCTTTATTAAGTGACCAGCAAGGTAAGTTTTGTATTGYACTTCTTYTTTTTTTYT